GGATATATTTACTGCAACAATAGACGATTTACCTCCTTTTCTTTTTATCACTTTAAATAGCGTCTAATACCAGACCTCCAAAGTGAGACATTTTCCCTACAGCGACGTATTTTAATGCCTAGGCGAGTTTGGGCCTCTGTCTTCGATGAATGACTCAGTACCCTATAAGCCATATGCGCATCCACCCATGGGCGTCAACTGAATAGGCTATATCAGCCTGATGGGACTCCATTTACACCATCGGTTTACGCATAAAGGAATTGAAATAATATCAACAAATTATTGGAATTATCGTATGAACACTGGCCTCGGAAGGGAAGAACAATAAGAAGTGTGTGCGCGTGTGTGTGAGAGTGGGTAGTTTTGTGATCAATCCTCCAATCGGCCTTCTAATACAGCCTCTTCGATTCTTGCCCAGTTCATCAGCCTGTGTCTGTAGGCTATATTAAATCTGGAGCAGTGTTCTTTCAAGAGTCAGATGTGTTATATACACAGAAAGGTGTCTGGCGCACCTATAGGCTCTCCATGCGCTGCAGCCCGCGGACTGGAACACCCAAGTAGATCCGTCTCCATGACGACGGCGGGACACCGGTCCAACAAGCTGTAATTCTGTCTCAGCCTTTTTCAGGGGAGGGACCGTCCACACTAGCCCGACTTAACTCCTCTTTCACCAGAAATACTCCTAATCCCATATCTTAGCAAGGCAAACTGCCGTCCCTCAGTATATTAAAGAGACCACAAAGTCAAAACTTAAAGCCACCCATGGTTTCCCAGCAGGCGGCCCATCCCGGTGTGAGCGTCGCTGCCCCGTCCCGTCCCGTCCGGCCAGCCACTGTACGTGTCTTCAGTTTTCTCAGCGCCTATTTACAGAAAATTAATACTTGTAATCATAACTTTTTATTATGTGATTTCGACAAATTTGCGCAAATAAATCCAGAAGATTTAAATATTAATTCAACTTTAAATAAAAGAATAAATAAATAAATTGTAGAAAATAAATTCTGTTATGTTGATAAATTAATAAACATTTTACGGCTTATTTTTTCCAGAGGCGGCACTGCGGTTCGGTTTGCGTTATTGTCATTTCTGAACGTCTGCTATTTTCTATCGTTGTTAAACATTTGATTTAACAGGAATTTAAAATGAGCTCATAACCAAAATATACATTTAGAGTCTCCGAAATTTGAAGTATTAAAATGTATCGAAATCACATCTATCAGTTATCCAGCTAATTTGCAATTGAAAATGCATTCCTTCTGTTGCCGTTTCATAGGCTGCCCACACGTTTGTATTTAAAAGGATATTTGCACATAAATACGCACTTCTGCAAACATATTACGGATTTCTAGCACAAAAAGGTAGAAATGAAAACAGGATTACTGCAGGGACAAATGATTTATTAATAAATTACATTTTAATTCCACATAAGTTTGCGTTGCAGCTGTTGAAAACATTGTTTTATTGTGTGTTTGGCTTTCTAAAATGACTTTTGAGCTTCGTTCTTTCCTGTGGCATATTTGTTTTTAATAAGACAAACTTGAAATATTAAAAAGTAAAATCATAAAATGAATCTCAGGCAGACCTTCAAGCAAGGAATGAACTATTTGGCTTTTATAAATAATTTTCCTATTAAAACAGTGCAGTTAAAGTAAGTGGAGTTTCAATAATTGCAAATGTTCCTTATTTTAAAAAAATACATATCAGCAAAAAAAAATTGGCTTTTTAAAAATGTTTATGTAATTTGGGGGGTTGTGGATAATTTGTACAAACTGCATGAGACAGCAGGCAGAAACTATTTTATAGAAAAGCCTGTTTTTCTCCTCCTGACCTGGAATATAATAATATCATGAGGAATTT